GCTTGATTTTCATTTCAAAATGAATAGCTGTCGCCACTTATTAGTATGTCTTTAGCAGTAACTGTGAAGTAATTGTTACAAATCACGATTATTCGGGAGTTTTTCATAATCATAGGTTACTGTGAACGTAAGCAGTTACCGCTCGTAATACTCACATAGCGGTTGTAGCCCTAATGAAATTATGACGATTTTTTGGCGATAATCTGGATAGTTTGTGAATAATAATTCCTTAAGGACCGTAGTGATGACGAAATAGTTCTAGCAATTTTTATAGATATACTCGGATTATTCACATGATATTCGTCTACTAATAATAGATTTTACGTTTATTTCAGATGGCATCGAAATTTTACAAACGGTTCCTTCGGTTAGCTTCACGTTGGCCACAACATCCCGAAAATTTGCAGCCAGCGAATCGAGATGCGTCGGTATTCTTGAAGAATGAAATAGAAAGAATATTTCGAAAGGAACAGAATATTTTCCAGGATGAACTTTGCGAAAAACGATATGAAAGTATTTTTTTTTTTCATTTAATATATTAAGGAATGATTATGTACTTTATATTTAGAAAAAGTGTGGCAAAATTATCTGAAAAAGATGATTATTGAAATTGTGTTTTGTTGAAATTACTGAAATTACACGATCTTTTTCCGGCTCAAATCAGACACTTGAGATAGAAAATATCAGCATCACTAATATTAAGTTAGCCCATTATACCTTTAAAGTGCTTCGAAGCTTTAGTTATTAATGCCATATGAAAGCAGTACTGACACCGTACACCTGAATGCTTGTGTTTATTTCCATAGTCATTTCGTCATTAAAAGCTGTTTATCATTTTTTCTAAACTTCCAACAGATATGGAATGTAAAAATGCTGGGTGTGTTTTTAAGGTAAAGAATATACTGAACAAAGGAATCGAAGCATTGATGTTCCGCTGCGATAATGAATTCACTTTCCCTTTTTTGCATAGTGCAACGACGTTAAAATGATTTCAGGTTTGGAACAGCTTGTTTCAAATGAACATTTACGTAACTTTCCCTGTAATTACAAAGCAGGCGCTGTGGCGTTGTCGCTTAAACAATTAAGGAAGATGAATTCACCACAAGGACGTTTCATGTTAGGCCTGGAATTAGAACCACCTGAAACAGACACGACCAACAAAGGAATCTTTGTTAAGTTATTCAATAAAATGAAATCAGCAGCATATCGCAAAGGACTTTTGAAGAGGTCATCGATTGAGTTTTCAGATGTCGAGTTAGATGTTTCATCATTACCGAAACCTAAGAAAGAGCTGATAGGGTAGGTGATACAAATTGGAAATGCTGTTCTGTAAACAGAATACTTTTTATAATCTAGCTAACCTGACAACCTAGTCACTAAATAGTTGAATATTAATTTGGAAGCGTTCAAATGACTTTACTTGCATTCTTCCTTTCTCCAAAACTTTATGAAGTGTCATTCTGAGAATAAGGATTGTTAACTTTCTTCAAGTAATTCCTAAATTTTTATCTCTAAGATTACACTTCCTGCGGAAGTTTATCTTTTGCACTCATTGTCCACTCGACTGTCAATATCGTGATCACTAGATTACCCACTAAATCAATTTTTACATTATGCTTCTGTATCGTTTCTGTTCAAGATAAAAATGATAATTTGATCCTCAAACGTGGTTAAAGTGCCAGGCAAATAAATTTGGAATATATTATATTGTAACACAAATTTAGTGCTATTAATATACGTTGTTATTCTTATAACTTTTGCTTTTGATGACTTTGCGATTAAATGTATAATATATGCAATGTATATGAATACTGTTGTGGACATCATATATACGACTTATTAAAAGTTGTGTAGAATAAACTAAACGTTTATGTTCGGTTTCCTACCTGCTCGATTTCCTCGCATGAAAGGCGTCGTAACTGGTTGAGTCATAGTCCATCCCTACTATATTTAATACGTAACTTTGATGCTGTTTATTGATTGTATTAATCAGTATTGCTTTTTATATGTAATTAAAGAACAGTAAAACTAACTTTATTTCGTTATGGATTTTATACACTTGGGATTTTTCTTCTTTATTATTTTTTACGATTAAATTGTAATTTTTTGTTATATTTGCTTTTTTTTCATTCAAACAATGTGTTTGTTTCTGATGGTACCTTCATTTCAGTTACCATCAGTCAGTTACTAATACCGTTGACTTGAAATGTACTTGATGAGATAAGTGTTCCAAACAATTACTATGGCATCAAATGCGGAAGGTTAGTCGTTTATTTTCGAAATTGATCGATTTTATCTCGAGAATTTTCGGTTAAAATTCCCAAGTTTGTTGGTTAACAGTGAGCTTATTCATAATTTGTTCTTATTTACAGCATCGCTTGTTCCTTCAATTTGTTATCCCATAGTAATACTTTGTTTTAATTGTTAAAATATGATAAATAAATTTTAATTATTGAAAAGTTTTGGTCGTTCAGTACTTTTATCGTCTTACTTAATAGTGAGACGATTGCTTACTACGCAGATTAATACGACTACATTCATTCTTCACGAAAGAGGTTTAAAAGTGTGGAAATTTCAGTTTTGAAATGGCAGCGTTTTTTTACTGCTGCTGGTATCCCAGGTGCGGTTGCACTGAAGTACTCAAAATCCTTTGTTGAACAGCGCATGCAGTTCACAATGTTAGATGCCCTGGATAAATCGGTGCTGATTGAGCTCGGTATTGTAACAGTGGGAGATCAGGTAGGGTTACTTGTTATAATATGCTCTTAAAGCGATAATGCTGAATTTATTAGAATCTTTCCCAGTTTGATATGCCAACTTTTACTTTATTGTGTTGCACGTGGCATACAGTCATGTGGCAACAGCAATACTTTGGTTTAGTTAAAAATTTGGTACCTACACAATAATGTGTGACTTACTTTCTCGGAAAACATTTAGATCGCTATTCTGCAACATATCCGAAAGCTGAAATCCTCTGGGAAAGAAGTAATGGACCACAGCTCGTCAGCAATGAAATCGGACAATATATCTGCCACAAAAGGTTTTTTATTTATGATGAAGTAGTGGTTGATGTCTTGATCGGAGTATGTTTGAGGTGTTTTATCAAATTTAGCAAGAAAATCTGTTTTTCTTTTTTTGCAAACAGCTTTTGGAGAGATTTAGGACATATAGAAATTTCAGAACGGAAAGTGCCATCAGCAGCACCAGACCGTGACGACATCTATCATATCCATCTACCAATCGGTGCGACACCAAAAACGCGAGCCATTCTTCAAAAACATAACATGTTAAAATCTGCAGGTTAATAATAATAACACTGATGCAATAATAATTAAGTAACAGTATGATAATTATGAAGACTTATGTCCTGCGTTGCATGAAGTATAATCATAAGGCATAAGGTCATTCTGCTTAACACCTTTTTTAAGTTGCAGCTTTTTCAAGAGATTAGTGTTTGTGACCTCAACTTTTACTTCATCCACTGAGACAAAACCAGTAAAATCCTAGGTATCACTGAATCATTACATGTTTAGGTTTGTTGAAACGTGGTTCCGATGGGATACGACAGTCAGGAAAGGATGTTCTTCCATCGGCAAAACAGAATATTACAGTCCGTCAGAGTAGTGCAACAGGCAGCAAATATGCTACCAATGTGGCTGCATCGTCAGGTATGATGGGACTTTGCTTTGTTTCAGGCTTAAATGAAGTATTTACTTCAATTACATTTTTTTCTTCAACGAAATTTTACTTCAATTATGACTTTTCATTCAATGAAAGAGGTTGTGATGTCTAAGATGCGATCGAGCCTATAAAATGAAACCGAATTAAAATTTTGCTCTCTTTCGAAGGGCTGTGCAAGTTCTGTTAGAATTCAGATTGGAATAAGTTATTTAAATTTTAATAATTTTTTTGAATGGCAAAGATGATCCGTTTTTACTCACTATCATAATATTATTGAAGTCATATTACCTTGATGAGTAGATAATGCAATAGATTTTCGGTTATATTGTGTGGATTTTAGAGGTGTCTTCTACCACGGATGAATTTTATGGCCGTTTGGGTGTTAAAGGTCTCGTGTCGGATCACTTGGGTCCACGAAAACATTCTGTTGGGTAATATTTGAAGCACAGATTTTAAAAGTTTAAGCAATACATATATTACAGTAGGAAATTATAATTGCCCATTCATAAACAATATGTTGTTTTATGCTTTAGATAACCACTCATCAGATGTGAATTTAAGTTGCAAAATTTTCAAATTGTTCACCATTTTTCAGGAGTAGTCGATCCAATACTTCATCATCAACAAGTTTATTTGGACGTGCCATCAACGAAAGTGCATCGAGTCGTATTGTAGAGCCAGTATTCAGAGTTAGACTCAGCAACATGGAGGTGTGGAATCCTCGCAGCAGAGTAAGTGGTCCAGTCAGTGCTTTGTAATTGAATTCACTTTATGCTAGGGATAGACTACAACTAGTTGTCTTGCGAACATTAAACTTTTTTTTCAAAACCTCACGAAATATCACAGCCGTTTTGAGGTAGTTGTAATATTCGCTTCTTTTTGACTGACAGTAAGTGATGCCAATTTTTGAGCTTTGTAACTTGAGTGTTAATGCAGCATTTATATCCAAACCATCCTTCAACAATTTTTTAGACTGGGTCAAAGTTCACGGGAGCTATAAGAAAGCAAAGGAGGCAAAGCACTGCACCTATGAAGAATACTGCGCGCTCGATTGTCAATAAAAGACGTACTCTTGATCGGGACAGACCATCCGTCTTTTATCGTTTGGGTTGAATCGTTGATAAAGTGTTTGATTTGAAAATGCTAGTATTCTTTTGGAAAGGGTATGGAGCTCAAGTCCAGATTTGTTATCAGCTCGCAGTTAAAGTCCAGATATGTTATCAGCTCGCGGTTTCGTCGTGCTCGCAGTTAATCGCGTGTCATTTTCTGCTAAAAAGTTGCAGAGATCTTTGTAACATTGTCTTGTATTATTTTCAATTTCCGTCTGTAGAACTGTCTCTCTCACCCTTCGTAATTTTAGATTTTTCAGTTTTTCCTTACTTCTCGAGAAGTACTCGTCTTCTAATTAGCATTTTTTGGTGAAGTTCGTTTTATCCGAAAATAAAATTCTTATTATCGCCTGGTTCAAATGATAAATCATGTTATGGCAACATCTTCGAACATACCTGTCATTTTTCGGTAATTCTGTGAATAATTTGTGAAGAACTTATCTCCTTCATGAATTCAATTACTTGGAATTTTCGAAAAGAGATTTACAACTAATTTTAAATTTATGATGTATTATTTAAGTCGTGTACACATTAGATACATATTATAGATTTCCAGTACGAGAAACATACATAATTTAAGTTTAATTTCCAAAGGCAATGGACAATGGACGTTTAGAACCGTTTGAAACGCTCGAGAAAGATTATTACTTGGGTGAGCGTAACGGTTGGTATAGTGATGGTGAACAAAGAGACAGCGAAAGGTTTGTAATTGTTTATGTCTTTATCATCATTCTACGTGGATTTCTGTATTTGATTTAGAATTTCGTGAAGGGTACTGTGCTTTAAATTTTGCGGAGGTCACCTATGAATAATACAACCTTAGCGGGACATTTTAAAACCTCATTTTATTTTTTGAGGCTTTTTAAAACTTTAGTACTTACTTAAATAGTTTTGAATAAATGTTAGTGCTTCCAAATTGGAAATTGAATTTTCCAAAAAAAAAAGATTCGGATAAGTGTTGAAGTTTTCGACTTGTAAAGTTTCCAAAGTTTCCAAAAAAGAAAAAAATTCTAACTTTTAATGTTTGTGGGATCAAAATTCGTTTTCAAACCACAGAAATTTTATTGAAAAAATAAAATGAACAAAACACTAAAGTCTGATCTAGCCATGGAACCGACTTACTTGCGAGCTCAAATGGTTTAATGTCGGCTGCGTATGTAGGTTGGTTCCATTGTTGAATTATTCCAATTTTATTTTGTGGTCCACTGCTTTAAACCTACAACTTCTAGTCCTGTCCTCGTGACTTTGGTACTCTCACCATATATCTTTCCATTCTTTGTTCAATTTTTTCGTACTAATTGAATTGCTGGTCTCTGCTGCTATTGTTGGCTTACTCTGATCGGCTTGAATTATTGGATGAGAAATTCTTTGAACTATGTTTTTGAATTGATTATGGCTTCTTGTACACCCTTCTTCCCCTTTTTTTTCATCTCTTATTACCATTCTTCTGTTTTTCTTCAACCGGTTTTACGATTGTTATTGCTTGTTGACCTTTCCCTTTCGATCTAGCCCTTTAATGGCTGCATTTTCTGTCATCTTTATTATAATTAAAGTCATTACTTACTTGTGATTAAGTCGTTTATCAACTAATCTGCCCAGTTAACTCCTCATTTTTATTGCATAAAAAACCGTGAAAATATAACATAACCAAAGTAGGAAACATACAATATCTTTATTATGTACGGAGGATTGGATTCGGCTTTCCCGAAAAATATGTAGATACGCAACTAATATTTCACAAATTCAAAATAATGAACTGTATAAACTCCTTAAGAAAGGGGTGGTATTATGCTACTATTCAAATTATTCCAAAAAAAAAAAAATAGCAAATTATGCCACTATTCATTAAACGATATTACTCGGCATTGTTACTGATACAGAATATAGTATGATGTATTTATTCAATAGCATTTTTTTTTTTTCAAGTTCTGATGACGAATTACGCGAACAATTATCAGAATTAGCTGGCATGCGGTGCGAATCTGGGAAAGGAAGACGTAAGTATTTTTAATAGTTGTCATTTCTTGAAATAAGTTAAGATTGCAGATCCAGTCATTGAATGTGATCTCATTTCAGAACATGGAAAAGTGAAGAAGTTGGATAAATTTGAATCAGATATGGACAGTGAACTGAGCGAAAATTTTGTGACACATACATCGAGAATGTTTTCGTCATCGATGAAAAGAAGTGGAAGAAATTTAGAAAGTATGTCCTTATCTTTATTGCATCTTTTTAGGTCTGTTAAATACTGCGCAACAATCATTTTAAGCTTTCCCTTCTACTTTTTATTGTAAATCCTTACTTCGGAAAGTTTATTGTTTTTCTGCTTCTTTTTGATGCAAAATTATTGACTTATTTTTTGTTTCTTATCTAATCCTCATGATTTTTTTAAATTTGCCTTCACATATATAATATCTTTAATAACTAATTTGACAGGAGGATTGTAGAGTTTTATTTCATATTTTACCCAGATAATGGAAATTCATCAGTTTTTATGAGTCACTTTTTTAAATTCTGTAGTGTTATATGTCCTTGCAGCTTTACCTCAACTTTTAGTATGCTTAAAATTTGGAGAGCTTTTCTTTAGCTTTCTGATACATACTTTTTAAGTTATCAAATATGAAAAAATAATAACTTTAGTTGGCGGCGAAAATGAGATGGATGCAGAAAGTAGTGGCAGCAAAACTGTACAGAATGACAGCACTTCAAACACCGGTAATTAGTCTAATACATTTGCATTTTATGCATTGGGTAGAATTAGATATGTTTGTAGGCTAATTGGTGATTTTTAAATTTATTTTAAGAAAAATGGTTGTAGTCGAGAATTTTTAGATCCTACCTCATCAACAAATAACAAGGACTCATCAAATAACTCCGTGAAATCGGTTAGTATGACAAAGATAAATTGTTTATGTGTTTGCTTTGTAATTATTACTCATTTGAAAATTTTTGTAGTTTTGTTTGAATCTGATTCAATTCAAATATTTATTGTAACTAATTTCTCAAATATTACTGTTTATCATAACGCACTTTATTATTTTAGGTGACTTTCGAAAGCCAGTTGGGCAAACATACGAACGCTAAGCAGAGCTCAAAATCTTCCAATGATAGTAAAAAAAGTGAAGTTGAATTCTACGATTCGGATGAAGATGAAGACAATGAACGCTGGGTATGACTTGACTTTTCTGGATTTCTATCTTTCGATGTGGTTTTCAAAATTGTTGTGCATTTTTGGAGAGGCATAAATTTTAGAGATTGTTAAAGTGCTGCAATAAATTTAGGTACGTCATCATCGCGAACAACTGAAAATCGTAAAGTCCTTGAATAATTCTCCCAAAAAGGATACGAGAACTAAGCAAAAAAAGGATCAGGACCATGAAACGGATGCAGTACTATCATGTCCTGCATGTATGTCGTTATTAACAAGGGATTGCCAAAGACATGAGCTGTATCTTAATCAGTATAGGTATGATTTTCCTAAATTTTTCCTCAGAATTAAATAAAAATGTCTGTGATTTGATAGTTATGCAACAATTTATGGAAAATGCTTTGGATTGTTATTTTTCTAGCAGTTAGCGAAAGCGAATTTTATGGGAAATATTGTCTTTTGTTTTGTTGGCCAGGAAAGCAAATATTGGCATTTTTGTATATTAAGGAGATAAGGCAACTGACTCCTAACATTCACGATATTTTGTAAGGTAGGGGTAGCAGTCTAAACGAAGTGAGTAATTAAGTAGCAGCAAGTAGAATTGCAGAAAATCACGCCAAGTGAGAAGTTGAGCATATGCGAGTCAGGCCATGTTATGTTGTACGAGTGAATATCTTCAGGGCTATCTTTGTGGAAAATTGCAATGTGGTGGAAAATGAAGTGTTATTTCTGCCCCAGTCAGGGAAAAATAAGAAGGCTCGGAAAAACGCTGCAGGTTGTCTCAAATCCAGATATTTCCGATTTACCCAGAGATATCAGTTTGTTCTGAATTATTACAAGAATTTTTGAAAATCTTTTACAGGGCTTAAACCGAATGCTGTCGTTGATCCTGCCAATATTACAACGCTTCCGAAGGAAGATTTATTTCATCCAGTCCTTTGTAGTATTTGCGCCACAAATGTTGGAGTATGTGATTTTGAGGAGGTTTTTCACTTTTTCAATGTTCTTACAGGTTATGCTTGAAGGCTGTATGGTATAATGATTTAATTAAATGTTTCACTGGCAATTCCTCATATCTATATTTTTTGATTGTTGTGATTCTTAGTATTTGTGACAAATTCGCTTTATTAAAGTTCATCGCATCTAATAGTGCTTCCCATGACTTTCTGCGGCATTCATTTTGTGAATCTGTCAAGAGTTGCTTTTTGAAATCTCTTCAGAGTTTAATGCTTTACCAGTGATGTTCATTTTGCTAAAGGAATGAATGCAGTTGAGCCATGTTTGACATTTCAGTATATTGCAGCATTGCATGACACTGAAGATACCCTTTGCTTGTACTCTGTTGCGGTACTGAACAGATTATTTATCAAGAGCCGAGGGCTAATAACATTCACAATAATATAATTCTTCTTAATAATATATTTCTTCATATTCTTTACAAGATACTCCCATGCACTTTCTTTTCCAATATTATGAGATGAAGAAAAACAATGATGGCTGCTTGTTTTTTCCATGAAGCAAGCCAGTTTTTTTTTTGAATCCAGTATGGACTCTTAAGCTAATGGAACACTGCTCCCATAAAAATGTTTCAATTCCTATAAATAAAAAAAAAAATGCAAAAACTGAATAGGTATCGGAAATCCTAGAAAATTGCAATATGTCAAAGCAATTAAAAAGGTGTTGCAGAGTAGTATGTCAAAGTAATCAAAATATTGTGTTGTATAATTTTAACATAAAAGTTGTTGAAAATATTTACCAGATAAAGGATTCATCACATCATCAAAAAAAAAAAAATTTTTTTATACCAAAAATAATGAGTCATTCATCTAATCTTCAAATTGTTTGTAAATGTCTTAATCTTACAGGGAATCCATATTTTGGAATATTGTATACATCGTTAAATTTATTCATATGTAAATTCTTATCTAAGAATTGATCTGTTCTATTCGGATCTTATATGCATCTTAAACCTACACATATACCCTTTTAGAATACTAAATATATTCACTAAATAAACTCTAGAAAGGATTAATAGTTTTCATATAATCATCAACATATATTCTAATTATTGCTTTTCCTATCAATTAATTTGCGAGAATTATTCAATCTTTCTTTCCGATAAACTATATTACTTGAATAAAAAAATATTCTCTTGCTTCTAATCATAAATAATTCTACTATAATTTTGAATTTCCACTTATTTCATTTATTCATACTGTATTTGTTAACTTGTTAACATTTATTCATACTGTATTGTTAATTTGTCATACTATATTGTTAATAAATTAACAACAATGAATTTCGTTATTCGTATTAATTACGGAATATCTCATGTACATAGGTTAATTTTTATTAAATCTTAATTTACACACTATTAATAATAGATCTTCTGGAGCAATAGCTGGACGAAAGATATAAATATTTCAAGATTTAATTTCTTTAAATTCTAAATTAGAAGAGCATAGAGCTAATAGGTGAAAATGGTTTAAATGAAAAAAAATGGGTTAGCATAAATGAAAATAAACTATTCTTGCAAAGAGGTTTGCTCTTTTATTTTGCATTACATTCATTTGAAATATTTCTTAGCATGCAAATGCATTGTATTGTTTTAATAAATATAATGAAGAATACTGCAATCTAAATCCTAAAACGTAAAAAAAATAGAGAGAGGGAGAGAGAGAGAGAGAGAGAGAGAGAGAGAGAGAGAGAG